TCCAATGCGAAGAGCTGACTCATTTGAAAAGACCCCAATGCTAGGAACGATTGAGGGCAGGAGGAGAAGGGGACATCAGAGGATGAGATGGTTGGATGGCATCACCAACTCAATGGACATGAGTTTGGGTAGGCTCCGGGAGTTGGTGTTGGACAGGGAGGCCTGGCATGCCGCAGCTCATGGGATGACAAAGAGCCAGCCACGACTGAGCGACTGAACCGAACTGAACTGAACCAATGTACTTGTTGTTTAGTCACCAAGTTGTGTCCAGCTCCCAACCAAAATGCGAACGGGCAATATTGAAGTAAAAAATTGAATTTTTCCAAACTGGCAGTATCCCACCAGTGACTGTGAGCGCGAGGAGAACATTCTAAGAGGAGTTCCATCTGCTTCTGCTTGTGTGGCCACTTCGGCTCTAACAAGCCTTTATATTCATGGTTATCTAAATAAGGAGCTTAACTGAACTTCAGAGTGCATGTGTGGGCTCTTCCTACCCACTGTAACACATCTGAAAGATTATAGGTTCCCTTTGATTCAAAACTGTGAGAACTCACATATAATTAATTAGTAAGTTACCCACATAGACTGGTATTTTAAAGCACTTTATAAGACCTATTGCAACCCTCTAGCCTTGGTTTGGGCCAATTGTTACTTTTAAGATATTAAAAATTTCTTGAGATAATTGTAGATTCACAATTGTAAGAAATATTGCAGTGAAATCCCTTATACCCTTTACCCACTTTCCCCCAAGGGTAACATCTTGTACAACTTTGGTACAAGATCAGAACCAATAAATTGATATTCATACAAACTACCTCTCTTATTCAGATTTCACCAGTTTTACAAGCACTTAGGTGACCCTAGTGGTAAAGAACCCATCTGCTAGTGCAGCAGACATAAGAGACCTGGGTTTGATCCCTGGGTCGGAAAGATCCCCTGGAGAAGGGAATGGCAATCCATTCCAGAACTCTTGCCTGGAGAATCCCATGGACAGAGGAGCCTCCCAGGTTACAGTCTATGGGGTCGCACAGTCAGACACGACTGAAGTGACTGAGCATGCACGTTGATTGTGTCTGTTTACATTTAGTTCTATGCAGTTTTAATATGTGTATATTTCTGGAACCTTTGCCACAGTACATAACAGTTCATTACAAAGATGCTACCCTTTGATACCTCCCTTCTGCCTACTGACCTAAATCCTGGAAAGCACTAATCTGTTCTACATTTCTCTAATTCTTTCATTTCAAGAATGTTATATAAATGGAACCGTACCCTATGTAAGCTCTTGAGAGTGGATTTTTTTCATGTAACCTCTTGAGACTGGATTTTGTTCATTGGTCGTAATTCCCTTGAGATCCATCCAAGTTGTGTGTATGGAAAGTTTGTTCCTTTTTAGTCCTAAGTAGCATTCCATGGAACATGACAGTTTATTTAACCATTCACTCATTGAGGAACAATTGGATTCTTTCCAGTTTTCTGCTACCATGCATGAAGCTGCTGTAACCATTCCTCTATAGGCTTTTATGTGAGCGTAAGTCTTCATTTCTCTGGGACAAGTGTCCAGGAATGCAGTTGGTGGGTCATATGATAGTTGCATGTTTAGTTTTCTAAGAAACTTCAAACTGTTTTCCATAGAGGCTGTACATTTCACATTCTCACCAGCAGTGTGAGTGACCCCATTTTATCACGATGTTCCCATTGTTTGCGTGCTGTCACTTTTTAAAATTTTAGTCATTCTGATAAGCATATAGTAATGTCTCATACCTGACAGTTTTTCGTCTGTCATGTTCTCAGGGCTGAGTGACCCCTTTAGGTATCTAATTTTACCTTAAATACAAAGAAAAAAAAAAAGGATTTCTTCAAATACCAGTTTTCCTGCAGAACCTGGTAAAAGGATATGTTGTAAGATTTTTTTCTCTTTTCATTTTCAAAATCCCCCGCAATTTCTTTTGTTCCTTTTGTCTATGGTGAAAATTCCAAAGGCATGTTTCCATTATGTAAAAGAAGATGGACTGATCACTAAAAACTACCATGTTATGATTACACCCATACTCATTTTTAAAAGATACTCAAAACTTAAGCTTTCTTTTTTTTTTAACATGAGACTTTTTTTTTTTAATGATACTTTTACAATAGAGGTATTTTGCTGCTAAGGCAAATTGAAAGCAAAAGTTTTCAGAAAGTTTTTGATTAATTCAGAAAATTATGATGCTCCTTGAAGTAGAAGAACAGAGAAGTTGGAGGAAACCTAATGGGGTGAAAGGGGCTCCCCTGGTGGCTCAGTGGTAAAGAATCCACTTACCAATGCAGGAGACGCAGATTCTATCCCTAGGTCAGGAAGATCCCCTAAGGGAGGAAATGGCAATCGACCCCAATATTCTTGCCAGGAAAATCCCATGGACAAAGGAGCCTGTTGGGCTGTAGTTCATGGGATTGCAAAGAATCAGACACAACTGAGTGACTAAACAACGTCTTATTATGGTTTTTGTTTGCAATTCTCTAATGGTTAGTAAGGTTGAACATCTTTTTATTGTGCTTATTTGCCATCTGTATATCCCCTTCAGTGACATGTCTCTTCATGTCCTTTGCCTGTTTTCTAGCTGTTCTTTCATTGTTGAGGTTTGACAGACCTTTACATTTTCTAGAGACAAGACCTTTCTAGAGACAAAACCTTGACAGCTATCTGGCTTACAAATACTTTCTCTCACTCTGGAACTCTTCTGTTCTTTCTCTTCACAAGGTTTCTTCCAGAACAAAAGTTTTTCATTTTGATGAGATTCAGTTTTTAAGTTTTTCCTTTTCTGGATTACTTTATCAGTATCCAGTCTCTAAACTTTTTTGCCTAGTCCCTGGGACCCAAGATTTTCCCCTGATTTTTTTTAAGGTTTATATATACTTTTTAAAATTTTATGTATCCATCTGTGATCCACCTTGAGAAAATTTTTGTATAATGTGTGAAGTTTAGATCAAGGCTCATGCCATCCCTCAGAAGTTTGTAATATTCTGGATACAGATCCTGTACGTATTTTGTTAGATTTATGCCAGTTTCATTTTCTTTGGAATAATGCAAAATGGCATTATTTTTAAATTAATGAGTATGTCTTTCACATCCTTCCTCTCCCCAAAACAAAAAAGCAAATGTAGAGTTTAAAGCAAAGCTCAAAGCAATCTGGTGATAGTTGACGGTTTGTTTTATAGCTTGCCTTCCTGTCTGAAGGAGAGGAAGTAAGGCACCATTCTTACGAGGCTGGTCACCAGTTATTAACAGAACCACAGGTCCATCTAGGAGCCTCATCCACATAGTCTTTGATTCAGTAACTGACCTGAGTGACCTTCTGCCAGTTCTTTACTTCTCTGAGGTTTAATTTTCTCTTATTATAAAATGAAAATAGCAATAGTTTCTTTATAAATAATGCTGCCACCAGTGAAGAGCCACCAGGAAAGCCCAGGAATACTGGAGTGGGTAGCCTATCCCTCCTCCAGCGGATCTTCCTGACCCAGGAATCAAACCGGGGTCTCCTGAATTGCAGGAGTATTCTTTACCAGCTGAGCTACCAGCAAAGCCTATAAATAATACTAAGAGGGTACAATTAAATTAAAAAGAGAACTTATCTACAACTATCTGGCATATAAAGATCGATATATGTTTCCTTTCTTCCTTTCCCTTCCTTCTTCCCTCCACCCTCACTTCCTCGTTTCCTCCTTTCCATTTGCAGTTCATGCCACCAGGCCAGTTCTTTAAGGTAGATATGGTAGGTTTCTTCCAGTAGGGTTCCTGCTCAACCTACAGTTTGACTAGGAGACTGACGCCCCTGTGCCCAACTAGTCCCCCAGAACCTCTCTTCCTCCCCCATAGCTCCTTTAATAGATGCGAATGATGAGGATTATTAAACCATGAAGTCTGTTTCTTCTCTTTAACTTCTTTTCTCTAGGAGTTCAGTGAGTTTTCATGAGCAGTGAGCCACCTTTCTGTGTTTTCATGAGGAGAAGATGATTTCTGGTAGTCAATCAATATGGATGGGAGGACCTTGGTGGGCTTCTAACACTCTCAGGCCTTGTTGAATTTGAATGTCTCTTCAAAATACAGAATATAGAGGAAAAAGCTCATAGTTTGATATAGAGACAACCCTGAAGTTCTTGGGCTCAGCCCAGAGTAATAGACTCCGATTAGGGTAGGCCAATGTAGGTCATCGTTCTCCCTATAGACCCCACCCTGTACAAGAGATGGCTATATAGAGACTCCATAGAAATGAGGTGGGGGAAAGGAATTTCTCCTTTAAAAATTTAAATTAAACTGTAGTCCCTCTAGGGATGATTATCTTTTTTCTTCTTCATTTGACAAGTGTTCATCCAGTTAATTTGGAACCAGCCCTCTCTTCCGATCTTCAGTAGTAACTGTGGGCCAGCTGGATATGACTCAGGAGTCCTTGACGTTGTGGGCTGGGCCATCTACTCCAGCATTCTGATTGTTGTCAGACAGTCAAAGATCTTAAGTGGTTAAAAGCCTGGAGAGATTATGTCACCTTCTGACCTTCATCCGTGGATGTCAAACCAAGATGGAGACCATTCATCCTTGCAGGATACCTCATGAAATGAAGGAGCTTTTTGTTGAAAATATATTCATTTTGCATTAGAAATGAAAACACCTCTTTGGCATCATATTGGCTTTGGAAACAAAGAACTACTAGAAATAGAACATCAAACAGATGTTGGTCTTTGCTAATATATTTTTAGTTTTCCTTCAAGGTCTACTTATCCCAGTGATCATTTCTATCCTACAGTTCTCATCTTTATGTTCTTTTAGTGGAAGTCATGGAAATAATAGTGTTTAGAGCAGGAGAGTGGCCCAGAGGAGTATGTTGGCCTCCCCATATTCTTGCCAAATGTCTGGGGAGCACCCACCCAGAGCTCTTCTCACTTGGCTGCTTTTGGGGCCTAATGTGATGGGCCCTGACCACAGAAATCTCACCCATGCTGATCTCTCCCTCTTCTTTCTCCAGCAAGGGTTGAAAATAGTTCACCATGCAGAGAAGACACTGTCCAGCTTCTGCAAGTGGCAGAAGAGCATCAATCCCAAGAGTGACCTCAGCCCTGCCCATCATGATGTGGCCGTCCTTCTCACCAGGTACCCCAGAGCCAGGGATGGTAAGATGGGGGGGGGGGGGTTGGCACCTGAAAGTGTTGCCAGGTATTCAAACCCATGAGATTCTTCTACTCTCTGTTGTTCTTGGTCATTTAGAAGGCAGCTTCTGTGAACTAGATATCTCCTGACTCCCTTCCCAGTAAGGGAGCAGTTAGTGAACTTGCTAAATGTGCACAGCTCTCTGTGTTAATCAACTGCATCTGCTTGTTCCTATCCCAGAGATGATTTCATCATTAAAACTTGGCTTCTCAGTGCAGCTCTATAAACAATCAGTAAGCTTGTTTGCAGATCCTCATTAAAGCCTCCTATAACTCTTCACTGTGGAATTTCTTATCCTTTAATTTTATTTTATAAAAATTTCCTCCAACTTTAAAACCTGCAGCTCTCTCTACAGAAATCAGTCTTCCATCTCTGACTAATGGTGAAGACAGAATATGGGGAGAAGGGCCTTCCCTGAAAAGGCAGTGATTTGCTTGCACCTCTGTCTCCTTTACCCTCATGAAGACACTGTTTGTTCTGACTACAGAGAGACCCTATGTGTTAATAAGAACCATCAGCACTTCTAGGACTCATAGTTGTGAAAACCTAGTGAATTTACCTTATCAACCCAGGCTCTTGGAAGGCTATTAGTGCTCATTAATCCAATAGATATCTTTTGAGCACCTACTATATAACAGATACTGTCTTAACCTAGACAAATGAAGTTGTTAGCGAGGGGGGAGGGGTAAGTTTTCACTGGGTACTCCTATGCAGACTCAGAGACATCCTGAATCCAGGGATGTAGAGTGGAAGAGGCCCTCCAGCCTGGCCCTCCAGCCTTATGATCGGGAAGGCCCTGGGTATCCGTTTGTTGTCCCTGGGGAGGACGGACTGCCCCTGAACATCTTGGCTTGTCCTCTGTCCCTTTGACAGGATTATTCGAGTATGTTGGATATCTACAAGAGATGATAATTAGCTCCCACCCTATCCAAATACCTGTCTTACCCTAACCTGAAACTTCAATCCCAGAATTACTCTTTTGAATGATAGTATCAAAACTTTGGCTGATTGCAAATATGTTCCAAAATAAGTCCATGGCATAAACCTATTACATTAGGTTCATCAGGACTTGTGACACCTGTGTTGATTGTAATTTCCCTAGGGAATAGGTTGGTGTGGGTGTAGAATCTAAGCACAGAGGCTTTGGGGAGCCCGCAGGCAGCCAGGGAACATGAGGACCCAGGAAAATGGCCCACAGAAGATTTCAGTCTAGGTAAGACCTGGCTCTAGGAAAGAACCCTGGATCATAAAGCCAGCATTGGCCAGTGGGCAGCTGTGTCTCAGCTGGGTCTCTTTTCTTTCTCTGAAAGCAGAATAGTTTCACCTTTCATTTTCACATGAATAAATGAGTGAGTTAATGAGAGCTGGCTTTTGAGGGGTATTTGACATGAACCAGGTTCAGTGCTACATCTGTTAGAACAATTATCATTCCATTTAATCCTCACAACAAACCTGATAGTTCATTACTATCAATCATTCCTATTTTACAGATCAAGAAACTGAGTCTTATAAATTATGTCACCTGCCCCAAATCTCACTGCTTTTAACAGGTATAGCAGGGACTTAAATCCAGTTAGTTTGAACCCAGTAGCCATACTATCACCCAGTAAGAATACAAAGGATCTGTTCTCCTTTTCTTCTTATGATGATCATTTTTCTTCCTTACAACAGAGTTCTGGTTTCAAGTTTTGATGAACCTCAACCAGCTCCTAGACAGTAGAGAGCATTTCCAGTTCTGAAGCGGGATTTCTCAGTAGTAACACCATTGACATTTTGGGTTGGCTAATTCTTTGCTGTGAGGGTCTGTCCTGTCCATTGGAGTGTGTTTAACAGAATCCCTGGCCTCCATCCATGAGATGTCAGTGGCACCCTCTAGGTTGTGACAGCTGTGACTGTCTCCAGACATTGCCAAAGGTTCCTGAGGAGGGTGCAGGGAACAAAACCACCCCCTGTGGAGAATCTCTGCTCCGAAGGAACAGGGAGGGAGGGAAGGAGAGGACTGAACTTGTCTCTGGAGCACTAGACTGAGATCCACTTCAACAGAGTCCCTATAGAGGAGCTTTCAGTACAAGGTGGATTTGGTGTGAACACACCTTGTGAAATGGGGCTGGTGGATTCATATCAAGGCATGTCTTTTCTTATACTGTCTCCAGTGATGGTTGGAGGTGAAGCTGATCCCTTGTTGGGAGCTTATGCTCCTTACCTGTAAGACCCATATTTTACAATCCTTTGGTCATCCCCTTTTATCCTCTTTATTGCTGGATACTTAATAGACCCTCAATGGACAGGTTTTTGTTGTTGTTGTTGTTGTTGTTTTGTTTTTTGTTTATTTTTAATAAATGTATTCATTTTAATTGGAGGCCACTTACTTTACAGTATTGTAGTGATTTTGCCATACACTGACATGAATCAGCCACGGGTGTACGTGTGTTCCCCATCCTGAACCCCCCTCCCACCTCCCTCCAAGGGACCTAACTTCCTTGTATCCCGTGAGATCCTAGGAGTCTTTCTTTGTATGTCCATCCCCTCCCATATGCACTACTGTTAGGGTGGTGGGACTGGTGAGACCATGAATTTGATCTCTGGATAGACTGATGGGACCAATTGCCTTTTTCATGAATGAATAAAAGTTCTTGGATACCTTTTGAACACGTACCTCAGAAAGGCCAAAAAGGCATTTCATGTTTGAAAAACCTCAACCACTGATGGTTGTCCTTTCCCCAAGTTCTGTTAATTCCAACTTTCAGTCAAATCCTTCTCTTGTGTGTCAAATAATATAATTTGGCTTCCTGAGATTAAGAATAAAAGCAACTCAAATTAAAACATTTGCTGTATTTTCATATATTTCTGTGGGTGTGAATGAGATTCAATAATGAAGTGGTAAAATCAGAATAATCCTTGTGAATTCAAAATCACTCCCTAAAATTTATGTGGACTTTTAAAAACAATTTTAATCATGCTTTACAGACCATATTGAATGTGAATTCATGGCCAGATGGGTTTTTTTTCCTAGATGTTTCTTGGGGCGCCTCCATATCCCTGTTCTCTGCTTTCAGAAAAGACCTCTGTGCTGGTGTCAATCATCGCTGTGAGACCCTGGGGCTGTCCCACCTGTCAGGAATGTGCCAGCCTCACCGGAGTTGTAACATCAATGAAGACTCTGGACTCCCCTTGGCTTTCACAGTTGCCCATGAACTCGGACACAGGTAAAGAGCCAAGGAAACTGAGACCTCCTCCTCCTGATCATGCATCAGTATCAGGGTTTCAGGAGAATCAGATTGCATTGTGGCTTGAGAATCACCTCCTAAATCTCTGCTTTCTCATCTGTAAAGTGGGAGGGGAGGGAAGATTGGGGAAAGACACAAGTTCAAGATTCCACTGTCTTCTCTGCCCTGACCACTTGTACCATCAACATCAGAGAATCATAGAGACCTCTGCAAGTCTCTGAGTTAGAATGAGGCGAGCAGAAACAAGGAGATAAGCTTTAACTTAATTGATTAATTCAGGAGTAGTAATTCCTATTTAGTTCTTATGAAATAGTGATGTTATTAACATCACTAAAAAGTCACAAACCTTAACATTGTTTGCCTTTCCTTTATGCCAGACATTTCACATTGTGTCATTGACTTCCCTCAACAACATTATGAAGTAGATACTATTGTTTGCCCCATTGTACTTGTGTGTATTAAAGGGGGACACTGAAAAAAAGGAAAAATGGAAAACTGCTTTAAACTTGGAAAGACTGTCAAACAAACACCAGTTAATAGGAAGTCCAAGTTGTCATAAAAATGTGTAAATTTGATTAGATCAATTGATTGAAGGCAGGTTTCAGAAATTTTTGGTAAAGGAATGTTGAGAATTCTGGATTCTCTGAGTATCAGAGGTTCTCAGGAGGAAAGATCTTAGCTTATTTGTAACTTAATATATTGATGTATTTATTAACCAGTAATGAGAGAACATCATACTAGGTGGAAGCTCAGAGTGGGGAGTCATATAAATGGCTCAGCAGCACTCCTACCTGTTATGTGGCCACCAACCTGAAAGAAAGCAGTACCCTGGGCATACTCTGAATGTCCAGCCGGAAAAAGAGGTGGGATTAGGAAGAGCCCTGTTGACTAGATTATTCAAGGCCTGGCCTCCCTGGCCTGGGCTTTCTCACCACTCTTCTCATATAATATTGGAACTTTTCAAAATCCTTTTACCTAAAGTTACTAAACCAGAGTATTGGCTTGGGAATTGGGAAATGTGAGTGGCTATTCTGGCTTTTCCATCAGCCAATATTATGACCTTAGAGAATTCCCTTCACTTCTTTGTGCTTATTTTCTTATATCTGAAATGAGTAGATTTGATTAGGTACTGTGATTTCTTTGATCCTTACTAAAAAGCCCTGGGAGATAAATGTGCTATAGTGTAGTATCCTTAATTATCAAAAACTCAAATACAGAGAGGTTAAGTGACTTGCTTTTAATTAAATAAGATTGAGGAAAAAATACTGAAAAGACCAGGCTATAGTTGTTGGCATGTTGATAATAACTTGGCAAAATGAAAATTATTCTTATGTGCAAATGTATAGGCACCCTCAGTCCTGGTACATGGAAGGACTGTCCCTTGTGGCCTCAAATAAAGTCACTGGTGTTAGGAGCACCTCTAATCAAGCAGTGTCAAGCAATATAACTGGATCAAACTGAGAAATGTTTGCTCAAGACATTCTCAGCAATGGTGTGCCCAAGTTGAAGAAAAGTGGAGAAGACTTGCTTGATAAAAGACATTCTCAAGTGCTGACTTGTGTCCAAAGAATGGATCCTTTATCCTCAATTCATTTTGGCAGTTTTTAAAAAGTAAACTGATACTACTTATGATCCAACAGTTGTACTCTGGGCATTTATCAAGAAGAAATGAAGATGTATGTTCATATGAAAAAAACCTATACATGAAAGTTTATAGAAACTTAATCTTAATAGCCCCAAACTGGAAGCAAACCTAGGGTTGTTTCAACTCAGTGTGGTGAATGGTTAAATAAACTGTGATGGATCCATATCATGGAATTCTACTCAGCAATCAAAAGGACCAATTATTGATACATACAGTGACCTTGATGAATCTTTGAACAATTACGCTCAGTGAAAAAAACTAGTCCCTAAAGGTTACATACTGTAAGATTCCACTTACATAGCATTATTGAAATAATAAAATCATCTAAATAGAGAACATATTAGTGGCTGCCAGAGCTTAAGAAGGGGATGGGGGAGGGATGGAAAGTAGGTCTGGCTACAAAGTGCAACATGAGGAATTCCACCAGGTGAAAATGTTCTGTGTCTTGACTATATCAACAGCAGCATCCCAGCTGTGATATCGTATTATAGTTTTGCAAGATGTTACCATGAGGGTTAAGTGGGTAAAGGGTACATGGGACCTCTTTGTATTATTTATTACAACTTGCATCTGAATCAATAATGATATAATAATATAAATTTAATACGTAAATATAATGAATTAAAATTTTAAAAGAGGGCATTGGGCCATATACAGCTGACCTAAATAAAACACTATGTTTTAAATGGCAAAAAAAGTTTAGGGTCACTGATAGGAAAGACAAAATTGGGGAATTTCCTGGTGGTTCAGTGGTTGGGACTCTGCACTTCTACTGTTGGGGGCTCAGGTTCACTCCCTAATCAGAGAACTAAGATTCTGCAAGCCAAGTGGCGTGACTGAAAACAAAAACAGAAGAGGAAAGAAAGACATATAAGCTTGAATTTGAGTGACAAAAAAAAATACTTCGGTAAGATACAAAACAAGAAGAGAAGACATTAGGAGTACCCTGAGAAATTTGTTCATAGCACAAGATGCTTCTGAAATATTCAGTTCTCTTTTTAGATATTGAAGTTCTAACTAGCTGTGGACCAAACTGAGAAACACTGGGCACATCAATGAAACAGCCTGGTGCCAGAAAAAGAAAAATATAATAAGCCACTAACCTCAGATAGTCATTATAGTTTAATAACAAAGATACTCCATTGTTCTTGAAAACTTGTTTATTTCTTCACTGATTGCATAGGATTTAAAATAGAAAGTGAAGTTAACTAACTTGTGCTTTGGCCTGAATAATTGCATTTTTATTTTGAGGAAAAAAAATTTTTTAAGTTCCATTTATGAGAAGCCTAGATTATATCCATCATCCATACCTAAGCTCTCATCCCTTAATAGGTGAATTACCAAAATGAAGATGGAATTCTAGAAGGAAATTTAAAAACCTCTCTGAGACCTAGCATCCTTTCCCTTGAAGTAATGAAAATATCATGATAGAGATGAACACTTGCAATGCAACATCCATCCAGTATTTCCCATTCTTCTGGATTGGGATATTCTATTTATTTCACTTATAGAGCTTTCCTTGTTGCATATGCCAAACTGGTATTTCTTGAATGAGTTAGAAAAGCTCACATTCATACTTTCATGGTTCTTTTTCTCTGATGGCTCTACTCCACTATAAAATGAATAGTAAAAGGCAAGAAATGTCTGACCAAGTGATACCCTAAGACTCAGGCAGTGACTTAGCTTGCTATTTCATGTCTGTAATTTTCATAAACCCATCTAGCAGGAATTGTAAAACCAAGATGTAGTCGAGCAGGCTAATATAAGAGCCAGTGAGTTGTTTCAGCCTGTAGTAGGCTGTTAGTCCAAACTGCTTTTGAGGTTCATCCCACTTGCTGGGAAGTAGCTTCTTGGAAACGCCTTCCATCCCTCTGACCTCATGTATTTTTCCTGTCTCTCATTTTTCACTGACCCACTGACCCCATATGACTCGAGCGCTCCCCTCATATAGAGAGAGTAGGCATGTCCACAAGAACCTTTGTTTAGTAGCTTTGCTTTTCTTTTGTTGGATGGGAGTACAGAGGAGCGATAGAGCTGGAGAGGGGAATGCTTTAGGGAACTAACAACTTTAGATGGAGCAACATGAGCCGATGTATGTAGAGGGTAGATTTGAAGTCACCCAGTATCTAGGATAGGCTTCCCTGGTGGCTCAGTGGTAAAGGATCTGCCTGCAATGCAGGAGACCTGGGTTCGATCCCTGGGTCAGGAAGATCCTCTGGAGAAGGAAATGGCAACCCACTCCAGTATTCTTGCCTGGGAAATCCCTCCATGGGATTGCAAAGAGTTGGACACGACTGAGTGACTAACATAAAGTATATAAGATCCAGACATCTGGCTTGTCATATTGGAATGGCTGATGCTAGAAAAGCCATTATTAATGGAGATTTTTAGAACCATGTTTGTTTAAGATTTTTCCTTATTTTAAAACAGGTGAACTTGTGTATTACTTAATGAACAGGGTAGGACTGGATTTTCAACAGCCTGGGGAAGGCTTGATAGGAAAAAAAAAAAAAAACTTTCATTGAATTAAATTCTTTTTGGTGGGGTGATAAAAGAGCTTTGTAGATTAATTCTGTGACTCCTTTGTGAATTTTGTATTCATGTGGAATATGATCAGAGTCTATAAGTAAGCTGATAATATCTTAATGCATAAAAAATAATACAAGAAAATTTCTAAATCCCATAAAGATTGTTTCTGCAAGTGTTGCTAATGTTGATCAGGAGATTTTATTAAAGTTGGATATGAGCTTTCCTGTCAGAGGAATTGCATTTCACTAGCAGGGTAAAAGGTCATAGTTTCCTCTGTTCAAATTTGGAAAGTTGAGCCAACATCTCCAGGTTGCAAGGGTCCAAAAAGCAGATTCCAGCAGAGAGAGGTCTTATGGGGACTCAGAAAGCATCTTGGCAGTGATCCTGAGGTCTTGGCTTATAAACAGACATTTCTCAGTCAGCCTCTTTCCCAGGCACCCCCTTGCCATGGGGGTCAGTTAAGCATTTTAGGGCCTTTCACGGCTACTTCACCTGTTTACCCCTGGCAGTGGGAGGTCAGGGAGCCTACCGAAGGAGACAACAAGAGCCCTGATTTAGGAGCACAAAGATCTGCAGAACACTTAGTTTTGTCATGAGCTAGCTTGTGACTTTTGACAAACCTCGAACTCTCATCTGAAAAAGGAAAATAAGCCAGCTAGACAACGATGAAGTAAAGTAAAAGTGTTAGTTGCTCAGTCGTGTCTGACTCTTTGCGACCCATGGACCGTAGCCCTCCAGTCTCCTCTATCCAAGGAATTCTCCAGGCAAGAATACTGGAGTGGGTTGCCATTCCTTTCTCCAGGGGATCTTCCCAACCCAGGGATCAAACCCACATCTCCTCATGTTTTCTGCATTGGCAAATGGGTTCTTCACCACTCGTGCCACCTGGGAAGCCCACTAGACTGTGCGTGCTGCCTAATGTCTATATATTGAAGGACTTGCATGATACTGGAAAGAAATCCATCCATTCCAAGCTTGCAGCTTCTGACAAAGTCTCCCATAGGCTTTGCCTTTAATGCTCTCCAGTAAATTATGATGAAAAAGCAAAAGGAAGGTTTTGTTCATTTGTGCTGTGGTTGCTACAGCAGGAGAAAGAAGACAGCTGGAGGCAAGATTTGCCCTCCTGACTGTAATCTCATAGAAAGCCAAAGCCAAACTGGAAGCTTTTAGCTTTCTGCCAAACGGAAGTTTTTGGATTAGCCACATGACTCCCAGGGTTGTATATTTGAAACAAAACCATGCCTACAATGTTTCCTGTGCTTTCTAGTTGAAAATTAGCTAGGCACCCCCAACTTCAAAGTCCCACTTTGTAATCAGATGCCTTCTATACAAACGTGGCTCACTGTGGGTTATTTTCACCTTGGAGGAACTGTGGTTTTCTTCTTGTTTCATGCCTGCCCCTTTAATATCCTTGTGCTCTGTGCTTCCCTGCAGCTTCGGCATCCAGCATGATGGGAAGGAAAACGACTGTGAGCCCGTGGGCAGGCACCTGTACATCATGTCCCGCCAGCTGCAGTACAATCCTGCCCCGCTGACATGGTCCAAATGCAGCAAGGACTATATCACTCGCTTCCTGGAGTAAGTGACCGCGCATCTCAGCATAGCCTCACTCAGGGCTCTGTACACCGGAGGTCACTTTGCGTCCTACCCAAGACCTGGAAAAGCCTCAGTTCCTCTCATAGGTCACAGTGTCAGGGTGGTAACAGTAACTGTAACAGGTAACTTGCTTCTGCTCTCTGACCCTGAGATCCAGGTGGGTTCTGCCTCCAGCTTAAGCCAGGTGAACACTCTGTCTCCCCCCACCCTCCTTCAGCTTGCTGTCATCTGAAAGGGGCTCTTTATGATCCAAGAGTGAGTTAAGTCCCTGGGGGACTGGCAAGAACGACTAGGACAAGTCAGAAGTCGTCACCATACTCCATTAGGGGTAATATGATAATTTTTTTCATTTTACCACTGCTTATAGATATTTCTTAGATCACATCTGAGCAAATGGTGGGGGATTGTGATTTCCTTTTCCTTTTAGACAACTCTTACCTCCTTGGGCCTAGTAGAAATAAAGTTATCTTAAAGGACAGAGAATACTAGAGAAATAGAAGTTTCTGTTGAATGAAAAACTAAATGTTTCATTTAGAAGGAAATGTAAGCCACTGCTCTCATTTCTATTCACTTGTTTTCAGCCGAGGCTGGGGGTTCTGTCTGGATGACATCCCCCAAAAGAAAGGCTTGAAGTCCAACATCATTGCCCCTGGAGTGATCTATGATGTTCACCACCAATGCCAGCTACAGTATGGCCCAAATGCTACCTTCTGCCAGGAAGTAGAAGTAAGTGTTGGGTATTTGGTAAGTGTTGGGTAAGAAGTAAATATTGAGTATCAACACTGGTGCCTCTGGCGGATATGTGCAGGGCTTGAGATCCAACATGATAAAGGAGGGCCAGGGAAATATTGGGAAATCCTTGTGGCTTAGCTGGTAAAGAATCCGCCTGTAATGTAGGAGACCTGGGTTCGATCCCTGGGTTAGGAAGATCCCCTGGAGAAGGGTAAGGCTACCCACTTCAGTATTCTGGCCTGGAGAATTACATGGACTGTATAGTCTGTGGGGTTGCAATGAGTCAGACATGAATGAGTGACTTTCAAAGATCCAGAAATGGAAACTCTCTATTCATGGCAAGATGTCTGTAAGGTAGAAGGATTGAAGCTGAGGTCATTCATATTCTTTGACCCACCTCCTTGGTATCCTTTACAACTGGGTGGTGGTTAAGAAAATGCTATAGTGCTTTTCAAGAATCACAATGATTCATACCTGCAGGCTCCATAGCAACCAACTTAATCCCTGAAGTTGCTCCCTTCCCTAAATTTCCTGTCTGGCTGCTGAGCACCTCCAGAGGCCCAGGTAGGAATAAGATTTACCCCTTATTCATTCTTCTCTATTTTCAACATCTAAGTGATAAGTCAAGCCCTGGTATTTAGCCTGTGATGGAATTTGTGGCTCTGTCCTGTCATCTTCATTCTTATTACTGCTCTCCTGAGTCCATCTCTCATTACCTCTACCTCTCCTTACTATTACCTTTGAACTATTTTATCCAGAGATCAAATTGCCAACATTCATTGGATCATAGAAAAAGCAGAGAATTCCAGAAAAGCATCTATTTCTGCTTCATTGACTATGCTAAAGTCTTTGACTGTGTGGATCACAATAAACTGTGGAAAATTCTGAAAGAGATGGGTATACCAGACTCCTGCCTCCTCTCATCTGCCTCCTGAGGAACCTGTATGCAGATCAAGAAGCAACAGTTAGAACCTGGTTCCAAGTTGTGAAAGGAGTACATTAAGGCTGTGTATTGTCACTCTGCTTATTTAATTTCTATGAAGAGTACATCAAGTGAAATGCCAGCCTGGATGAAGCACAGGCTGGAATCAAAATTGCCAGGAGAAATATCAATAAACCTCACAAATGCATATGACACCAGCCTTATGATAGAAAGTGAAGAGGAACTAGACAGCCTCTTGATGAATGTGTAAGAGGAGAGTGAAAAAGCTGGTTTAAAATTCAACATTCAAAAAATGAAGATGATGGCATATGGTCCCATCACTTCATGACCAGTACATGGGGTAACAGTGGAAACAGTGAGAGACTTAATTTTCTTGGGCTCCAGAATCACTGCAGATACTGACTGCAGCCATGAAATTAAAAGACCACCTATTCTTTGGAAGAAAAACTATGACCAACATAGAATATTAAAAAGTAGAGACACTACTTTGCCTACAAAGGTGCATATAGTCACAGCTATGGTTTTTTCAGTAGTCATGTATGGATGTGAGTGTTGGATCATAAAGAAGGCTGAGTGCTGAAGAATTGATGCTTTGGAATTGTGGTGGTGGAGAAGACTCTTGTGAGTCCCTTGGACTGTAAGGAGATCAAGCCAGTTAATCCTAAAGAAAATCAACCCTGAATATTCATTGGAAGGACTAATGCTGAAGCTGAAACTCCAATATTTTGACCACATGATGAGAAGAGCTGACTCATTAGAAAAGACCCTGATGCTGGGAAAGATTGAGGGCAGGAGGAGAAGGGGACAACAGAGGATGAGATGGTTGGATGGCATCACTGACTCGATGGACATGAGTTTGAGCAGGCTCTGGGAGATGGTGAAGGACAGGGAAGCCTGGCGTGCTACAGTCCATGGGGTTGTAAAGCATTGGAAATGACTGAGAGACTGAACAACGACTTTACTTCTCGTTACCTCATCACCTCTCCTTACTATTGTAATTACCTTCTACCTAGCCTCACCCCCATTCACACTGTTGCTCAAGTTATTTCAAAAAGACACAAATCTAACCATGGCTCTACTCTGCTGTTAGGGTCCTCACTGACCACAGGATAAAGTATCAACTTCTTGCATCCCTTTGTGATCTGGATCTTGTCTATTCTCTGAACCATTCCTTTTAGTGCAAAAGTATCAGTGTTAATTATACAAAGACATGAATGAGTCTGGTTGACCCCTGCCAGATTTTATGCTCTGTCCTGAATAGTATGAAAAAGATGAAACCTCAAAAATGAATAAGATAAGTTCTCTGACCTTGAGGAGCTCCTGCTCTGGTGGGGGAGGTTGACAGGGAAATTTTAATAGTCAGGTAAACACAAAAATAGACAAAGAGAAAGACTTTTAAGAGAAAGTAACTGTGCTCAGACAGAACAAGCAAGACTTCACAGAGAAGATAAGGTTGTTGTAAAAATCCCTCACTCTTACTTCTAACTGGTTACCAAGCAATGCTAATTCTGCCTCCAAAAAGGTCTCTAAAATCCGTGTGTCCCTATATGATTTCAGTGAGTCCCCTGGTTGGACTCCTTTCTAAGACTCTGACCTATTCCCCAAAACATAGCCAAATTGACATTTATGAAAGAAATCTGATTGTGTTCCTCTGTTGTTAAAATATTTCACGGCCTCCTATGCCTCTCCAACAACATTCAGATTCTCTAAATGGCTTAAAGGGAGCTTCAGGATTCATCCTTGCTCTCTTTTTGAGCTTATCTCTTAAAATATTATTTTAACCCTCCACTCTCTAACCTGGAATTCTAAATGCATGTACATTGGACTTTACCCCACTAATCTTTCATATCTTGAACTCTCTCCTTCATATTTTTCATCTCTTAATGTCTCCACATTTTGTGTACTTTCTTTTTCTCTTCAAACTCACTATTGCTCTTTTCAAATAGGTCCAATCCTCTATTTAACCTGTTGACTTTTTAATCTCATTTATGTTACTTTTTTGTTTTTACTTATAACAGTCTCTTTGGATTTTTTCCCTAAATTTTCTCCAATTTTTTTATGACCTCTTATTTCTAGTTTAAACTTTCAGTATGATCTTCTGTTTCTTTAATCATATAAGACACATTTATTTTATAATTGCAAATTATAGTGGACAGTTTTGATGTCCAGAGTCTGTGTGTGTCTGTTTCTCCTATTTGAGATTTCTTCTCAGTTTCACTTATTATGTATTATTTCCTTTTGTCAATTTCTGTTTCTATTGTAAACTCTTGGTTATGAAGCTTCGTGTCAGGCTATTCTGTATGGTTTAGATGGCTGGCAGATTCTTTTGGAGAGAATTTTCACTGCCATCCCTGGGTCCATTTAAATTATTGGTTGGATATTGTAAAGAACACTTACAACCTCTAGAAATGAAAAATATTATGATTGACTTAAAATTTAGTAGATGAGTTACACAGCAGACTTGATGGAATTAAAGAGAAAATCAACTGAAATTTAGAGTTGAAAAAATTACTTCCCATCCCACTTGAGTTTTTCTCAGAATTGTGTGATGGAGGAGAGACTGGCCATTTCCTGATAGAAATCCAGGCTTTTTCAACATTTATGTATAAGGAAGTTGAGAGCTAAAAAATATGAAAGTAAGCTGAAATCTGAAGGACAGCATAAGAAAGTCCATCAATAATAATTATTAATTGCAGAAATTACAAAAGGAAAGAATAGAGATAATCATGGAAAAGCAAGATTTAGAAAGATAAAGAATTTTCTAAAATGGTTAAAAATTATGAGGTCTTATGATGAAAGAACATATTGAGTATAGAGTATACTAAGTAGATGGAATGATAGCAGATGGGTGGATAAAAGAAAGACTAAAAGGTGGGTGGAAGCACCTGAATCATTTCAGATGATATACAAGAATTTTGTCAACCTTCCCTTGTTCCTGCTGCAGGAGGATAAAGAGAGGGAGTATCCACTTCACTCCCTGGCAGCTAAAACATACTGGCTATTTGGGGTAATAAGTAAATAACCTGAGGTTTTCTAGATGGAGTAGTTTCCCTTTCCTTCAGTGAGCAGGCTCAAGTTATAACCACCCAGCTATTTGTAAGCAGATTGCCTTCCATCACAGTCTGGATTTTCCTTTGATGACAAATGTCACCATTAGCCCTTCCTGAGGGCATTGAACGGTGGACATTATACCACACATATAGAAATTCTACTCTCGGCAGATGTGTTTTATCTCCCATTTCCATATGGCCTAGAATGGCCTACAGCCAACTGTTTATGTATAGTGACAATGTTCAGATTAAGTTTAAACGGAGGTTTCTTGAGTGATCAGTTTCCATCAGTTTACTCAGTAACAACAGTAGCATTTATTGTGGGTTTGTGGATGAACCTGTGTAGATTACACCATCACTGTAGAAATGCTTTTGTGCAAGTTTTGAAAAATACAAAAAAGCTCAGACTCATGTTTGTTTTCCAGAATGTTTGCCAGACACTGTGGTGCTCGGTGAAGGGCGTTTGTCGCTCCAAGTTGGACGCTGCTGCAGATGGGACTCAATGTGGAGAGAAGAAGGTGAGGTGTCAGGGGGGTGCCAGGCTGAGGAAGGAAGGTAGGGATAGGGGCTTACATTCTTGGGCAGAGCTGGAGAGGAGACCCTGGAGAGGAACTGTTTCTGGGTGAATGGAGATCATCATACAGTTAGACTTGCATACAGTTAGAAAGGACTCCACTTCCACTACTCCTCTTGAGCCTTCACCTGGGACAGGTAATTAGGGAGAGAGGGCTGAAACCCAAGACACACGCCAATTACACAACATCTGGACAAACTTATGTGGAGTTTGTGATCAGTAACATCCAATAAGCTTATCATCAACCTTCTCTTTAACCTTTTCTCCCCCTCCGTATTGAGCACTGGGGCTTCCCTGGTGGCTCAGGCGGTAAAGAATCTGCCTGCAATGTGGGAGACCCAGGTTCGATCCCTGGGTCTGGAAGATCCTCTGAAGAAGGGAATGGCAGCCCACTCCAGTATTCCTGTCTGGGAAATTCCGTGGACAGAGGAGCCTGATCGGCTACAGTCCGTGGGGTCGCAAAGTGTCGGACATGACTGATAGACTAACACTTTCACTTTCATATTGAACATTGGGAAGGACAAGTCAGTGGCTTCTTTTTTCCAAAGATGCTGATTTCAGACCATATGTTATCTTCTTGCTCATCATCTACAAGCGTGTGTGTTCAGTTGCTTCAGTTATGTCTGACTCTTTGCGACCCCATGGACTGTAGCCCATGAGGCTCCTCTGTCTATGGGATTCTCCAGGCAAGAATATTGGAGTGAGTTGCTATCCCCTCCTCCAGGAGATCTTCCTGACCCAGGGATCGAACTTGTATCTCCTGCAGTGGCAGGTGAGCTGTTCCTTACCCACTGAGCCTCCTGGGAAGCCTGTTTGTCATCTGACCTGACTGCATTTCTTAAAGTCCTACCCACCTTACTAAGCAGGAAACCAGATACCCAAGAACTCAGAGATGTTAGGTGTCCAGACTGCCTGAAGATAGGGTAATACGTGTTGTTCAAGAGCACAATTTAGGTTTGTGTGGGCCTAGGATTTATGTCTTTAGTGGGTGTCTTCACGTAGCTTGAGTATGTCGTGACTCATCATTGAGATCATAGAGCTTGATCAAGATCCACAGTCACCAGAAATAATGAGGAAGAGAAGGCAAGCAGATGAAACACACCCAGATCCACTGTGAAATGTGGCCATTTCTAACAACCAGCTTGCATTTCTTGTTTCTCTTTTTGTATGTTCACCCTCCTAAACTGATAGTTGTTGAAGGAGTCCCTTGAAGAGGGAGAGAGTGGAATTTTTCCTGAGCCACTTGAAATGTCAGAACTGGAAACAATGCAAAGAGTTACAGGAGAGCAGAAATTTTTCTTATTAGAAAGAACTTAAACTTCTGTAACAACTTGGGTTTTTCAGCAATGAGATTTTTTACAGAGGGGATGAGTTATCTGTTGCAAACATTAAATACCCATAGAGGCTAAAAAGGAGTGCTATCACAGTTCCAGTCTACAAAATGTTTGTTATGGTTCTCAACATGATAAGAAGCTTGCATCAGAAAGTAAATCAATTATATTATTGAACAGCTATGTTACTAAGCACAGTCAGCTGACATGCTTTCCATAGCAAGGTTTTCTTAATAAAGGAAGCTAACATTCTGGCATGCAAGTCTGCCAGTCACACTTTGAGTCATACTCCTTTCACTGCAACTAGGCACATAACATTCCCTTTAATTCCTGAAATTCTCTGATTCTAAAACCCAAGACTCTCGGGGTAAATTCTTTTATGAGATGCTCTTTGTTCTACATCTGATGTGTGACTGTAGGAAGTCTGCTTGATCAGGAAGAACTGGGTTCAGGCTGCTAGAGTTCCTGAGTCAGCTTGTTATGAAACCTTTCTGACATACGCATCTCCTGTCTCTTCCCTTTTCAGTGGTGTATGGCTGGCAAGTGTATCACAGTGGGCAAAAAACCAGAGAGCATTCCTGGAGGCTGGGGCCGCTGGTCATCCTGGTCCCACTGTTCCAGGACCTGTGGGGCCGGAGCCCAGAGTGCAGAGAGGCTCTGCAACAACCCTGAGTAAGCCAAGTCAAAGATGTTTTTCTTCCTTCCTTGAGCACTGGGAGACCAGTTGTGAATGGGGTGATGTCAGTGACCCCAGGGCTCTCCAAGGAAACTAAGTAGGTTCCCAAAGAAAAAGAGAGCCAGAAGGAAGATTCATAGAGAAGAAAAAAATTCTGCTTTTTTTTTTTCTGAAACAAGGTTTTTGCTTTGTCTCATTTTGGCTTGGTACTGGATTCGAACTTGGGTAACTAAACTGATCTCATCATTTAGAGAAATAAGCAAAACATTTTTAAAAGTGCAATCCATGTGAAAGTCTCTAGAAGATTATACAATTAAGTCCTCTTAAATAACCCCATTCTATCAGTGAGGATTATCATACCCAATTTTACTGATAAGACACAGCTTTCTTTCCATCATAATGAATGTATAATTTTATAAAAAGTTTTCTTCTCTTGGGTAACCAATTATGTGCCAAATTGGTTGGCAGATTTTTTGAGGATGATTATTTTTAATGTTTTGGATAAGAATTTTGTAAACCTCAGAGTTCTGTATTAGCTTGTTAAGGATTTCATAGAAGTTATTTCACAAGTTGCTTTCAATTTTTTTTTTTGCTTTTTTTTGCTTCCAATTTTTTAATCAAGTTGCTTAATTTTTTGATATTTTAAGTTTGTATAGTGATATTTTATGTGAAATATTGTTTTCTTGATTTACAAATATATAACATTCTTAATTTCATTATTTGCTGGTATACTAGTTCCTAAGTATAATTTTTTAGCAGTGCGCATATGATGACTTCTATAAGTAGAAAATGTTTTAAATTTCTTTTATCTAAATTTACATTAGTCTGTGTTGAACAGTAAGAGTCACATATTTTAAAAGGCAAATGATATATACTAAAACAATTCCATCAGTATCTCAGTTCTAAATCTTACCTCCTTTTTATTATAAATATATTACTCTGTGTGTGTGTGTGTATATATATATATATATATGCATGTATATATACACATATAAACTGTATATGTAATTATATATGTAATTTCTCCTAAAGGTTAATAAGTTAATATCTATGAATAACTCAACACACTAACTACTACATAAATTTGTCAGTAAATGGTAGTTACTGTGACATCTTTATCATTTCCCATGCCTATAAGTAAGTGTACATTTGAGGGATTTGGGCAAAATTGTTTTAAAATCTTACTTTTTGTTAAAACACAAGGTTCCTGTGGCTTCAAAAATTCAAAAGCAAGAATTTCTTATAGAATTTTTTTTACAGAAAATCTTTATTTTACAGTTTGTTTCAATGTGATCAGAAAAACTATTTCCATTTTTGTAATCAAGAAATACAGACAATTTGCTCCAGGATCTGTGGTAGTGTTGTGTATCAGCTACTGCCAGACCTTAGCCTTCTTGGGAGGATGGTCAGCAATCCATGGTTGTCAGAAAAGGGACATTCCTGTTGAGGAAATGAAAGATGATCTCCTAACTTGGCTTGAGGGGAAAAACTGGTCCTAACTCCCATCTTAGAGGCTACAGTTTGTCATAGAGTCTCCTTGGGTGACTCCATAGAGTGATCATATCTGATCTCAGTAGCTGGTTTACTTAAGTTCATTGAAAAGAAGGTCAATAAAAATACAGTCACAGATTCAGGTCAGTGCCTGACCAGCCTATGCTGACACTATATCCTTGATTTATATTGGTCAGCTGTCTAGTGAGAACCTAGCAGGGCTTGGCTCATAAAAGGCTCTTAGATGGAAATGAATTGGAGAGCTGCCAAGTCATAGAGTATCACTTCATCATCACAAATAGGAAACCACCAGCCTACCCTCAACTATGAAGTACAATGCTTAGTCCTGACCACGGGAAGTCGGTGAATGTGAACTGCCCTGGTCAAAGAATTACCTTTGGGTGTGATAAGTGCAGAAAGTGCCTCCAACTGGATAATGAAATGTTATCCAGAGGTGAAAGAGATGACTTCTGGCAGGAATTCAGATAAAATTCATGATGGAGATGGAAATAACATGTATTTGTCTTTAAAGGATGGGCAGTATGTAGACATTTAGAGAAGAGTGGAAATCTAGAAGCACAGGGTGGGGGAGAAAAGCAAACAAGTCGGCTGGTATCATGGAAGCAGTGTGCAAATGAGAAGGCATGTGGGAAGAAAATGTGATCAGGTGAGGTAAGTCAGGATCATGATGGCCGTGCATGCCATCATGCTTAAGAGGCTGGACTGTATCCTGTGGTCACAGGGTGCCATTAAAGGGTTTTCAACAGGAAACTAAAATAATGAAGGTATTCATAAAAGTTAGCCAGAGAAGAATGTGTACAGTAGGAAAAAGAGGAAAGACAGAAATGGAGATGGGGGGAGAGGGGACAGAGCATTTTTAATATAAAATACTGGCTGTTAAGGAAATTAAAGAACAACTTGTGTGTTTCGTGTGTAGACCAAAGTTCGGAGGGAAGTACTGCACTGGAGAAAGAAAACGCTATCGCTTGTGCAACATCCACCCTTGTCGCCCAGACACACCCACTTTTCGGCAGATGCAGTGCAGTGAGTTTGACACTGTTCCCTATAGGAATGAATTCTACCACTGGTTTCCGGTTTTTAATCCAGGTAAGGAGCTATAATGGAATATTCCAGATCGAGGGCCACAGCCATTATCAGAAAGCATTTATCTGCCAGGGTACTGTGATGAAGTACAGAGAAAAAAAGAGACTTGTGCCATCAAGAACTTTATATTTTAAGAGGTGGAGACACTGACTGGGTTAAGTGAATCAGTAAATGTTGAAGGTGAATATTCCAGCTCCCTGCCAAGCTCTGTGAGAGTTAGAAGAGAATTTCATCAAACATGATGACTCACTTCAAAACAGCTGAGGTACAACTAAGCAATATGTGGGCTTGTTGGAAACTAATCACTGCTGGAAGTGCTTATTGATGAGTATGTGGAACTGAATATAATTTTAACAGAAACTCAGAAAAGAAGGTCATTATGGGTGTGGAGTAATTTCAAAAAAGTCTTCCAAGGAAGCAGTTGACAATTCTTAAGCATGTGTTGTCTCTCTTCTGCAATAAGGAAGGGGAAGGCATTCAAAGTAGAGTCAGCAATTCCCAGTAAGGGGAGAAAAGAAGAAGGCAAGACAAGATGGTAGAAAATGTGAAATAGAGCACCAGTCCAGGTTCGATGCATGAGGCAGGGTGCTCAGGACTGGTGCACTGGGATGACCCTGAGGGATGGGATGGGGAGGGAGGTAGGAGGTAGGGTCAGGATGGGGAACACATGTACACCCTTGGCTGATTCATGTGAATGTATAGCAAAAACCACCACAGTATTGTAAAGTAATTAGCCTCCAATTAAAATTTAAAAAGTGCACCCAGAATTAAAAAAAAAGGAAAATGAATGAGTAACTTGATCGCAAATGGGTGAGAGCCATCTCTGGGCCAGAAATCAACATTTTGTATCTATGGGACAACATGCATGTGTGCTAAGTCACTTTAGTCATGTCTGACCCTTTGCAACCCTATGGACCATAGCCTGCCAGATTTCTCTGTCCATGGGATTCTCCAGACAAGAATACTAGAGTGGGTTGCCATGCCCTCCTCCAGGGGGTCAAACCAGTGTCTCTTATGTCCAGGTCGAGGGCCACAGCCATTATCAGAAAGCATTTATCTGTCAGGGTACTGTGATGCAGTACCTGTCTGGCAGACAGGTTCTTTACCACTAGTGCCACATAAGGGTAAAATGTAAAGTCAAGCATCTAAAGGATGCACATCAGAGGATGAGGGCATAGTGAAGTTGGATAATGGAGCAGCAGCCTTGGCAGTGTTTCTCCTGAATCAGCACCAGTGACACATTTTCTTCTGAAAATGAGGAAGAATCATTGACCTTTAACTATAGTAGCAAAGAGGATCTGTGCCCTTCATTGTTATTCCAGTAGAGAATGAAAGAAAAGATGTTCCTGAATTAAGGAAATCTGAAACAACATTGTGAAAAGTAACCGCATCTCTTTTGTGTGGGATTATTAAGTTTCTGAAATCCAGTATAATAGAACACAAGAGGATTCCCAGGTGTCGGCCAATGAATGAAAATTACATATTTGGACTGTTAGGAAAATGATACAGTCAATTGCTTTTGAAAAAAAGTGCTTTTCCTACTTTGTGTCTCCAAAATACCCTGATGGCTGTTGGTTGTCATGGGTGACATCTGCTCCTTGTCTCCCATTGTTTAGTGTCATTCATGCTCTAGAGGAGTGAGTCATTTGGTTTTTGGTGCAATTTTACTTCCTGATCTAAGCACCTGAATACAGAAAAGCTCTTGTATGTACTCATGTGGGTGCAAAAAAAAAAAAATAGTAATGAAAGGTATAGCCAGTTGGTACTACCTATATATTGGAAATTCTGCTTTGTTGGAACTAGTTGCGAAGGTAATACTAGAGACCCTGAATGAGCAGAACTAAAATGGCATAGCTGCCTCAGTGTTGTGACAAGTGCTCAGTTTGGAGTCCCCACACCTGCCAGATTCAGGGCTGGATTTGTGACTGCTGGACTCTGATGGTTCAAGTAGCCAGATTTAGAATAAAAATATTTGGTTCAGCTTAACTTTTCATTGGTTTATAAGCAATGATTGTGTGAAGAGACATCACTTTGCTGGCAAAGGTCTGTATAGACAAAACTATGGTTTTTCCAGTGGTCATGTATGGATGTGAGAGTTGGACCATAAAGAAGGCTGAGCACCGAAGAATTGATGCTTTTGAGCTGTGGTGTTGGAGAAGGCTCTTGAGAGTCCCTTGGACAGCAGGGAGATCAAACCAGTCCATCCTGAAGGAGATCAACCCTGAATATTCATTGGAAGGACTGATGCTGAAACTCCCATACTTTGGCCAGCTGATGTGAAGAGCCTACTCATTGGAAAGACCCTGATGCTGGGAAAGAATGAGGGCAGAGGAGAAGGGGATGACAGAGGATGAGGTGGTTGGATAGCATCACTGACTCAATGGACATGAGTTTGAGCAAACTCAGGGAGATAGTGAAGGACAGGGAAGTCTGGGGTGCTGTAGTTCATGGAGTCGCAAAGAGTTGAACATGACTTAGTGACTGAACAGCACCAAATTGTGTGCCTCCTTTTTCCGTAACATAGCAGTAGGTATTAAAGAAATGAGAGTTATAAAAGTAGACAGAGATTTCATTCACTTTTGGAGTGATTGTTTTGCATCTGTAACTGGTATTGAGATTGTGTATACCATGTGAGGGAATTATCCTGAGTGCCATCTGCTTAATTCATCTGCCTGGGCTGTAAGCCTCCATTCTCCATCTCAGTGGTTTTCTTATAGGCTCCTGTGATATTATTTGAGCTCTAAACTGAGTATCTACCACCTTGACCAACACACTGACTTCTGTCTCCCATCAAACTCTGTACTACAGAGTTGCTATTAGTTGCTTAGTTGATGGGCATCCTTGGTGACAACAATGTGGTGTTCATGACAACAGCTCTGTGCAGAGCACTAGAGCTGTGCCAGGCAGTGAGTACTTTACACCTTCCCAGGCTTCCCTTAGAAGCCACGAGAGGGTAAACTCAATATACAGCAGAGTTTTGGCAGATTTGCTAAGTAGCCAACGGCAGAAGAATAATCATAGATTCAAACATTTGGAATAAGCATAGAGACTCCATCAAACCTTGTAGTTTTCAAATTCTGTTCCAGGGCTTCCAAAAATGTTTGATTCTATTTTCATTCTCTAATTAATTTAATTGAAAAATTAATTTTTTTAAATATAGTAAGGAATAATGCTTACATTCAAAAAATAGTATATGTTGAGTTTTAACGTATGAAAAGCCATCAGTATATGAACTTATACATATTAATTTGGTTTTCTACAGACCTTAGAATAAAAGTCTCCCATCAACACAATTCAATTGAGAAATGTCCTGAGATTACAGATCAAGTTGTTCTAAACTGTTGTCATACCATTTACAGCTGTTTGTGTGAGTCAAGATTTTTCAATGCTGTGCAAACAAACAAATGTTGACGCTAGTGGTAAAGAATCCACCTGCCAATGCAAAGACTTAAGAGACTTGAGTTCTTTCCCTGGGTTGGGAAGATCCCCTGGAGGAGGGCATGGCAACCCACTCCAGTATTCTTGCCTGGAGAATCGCCACGCATGGACAGAGGAGCCTGATGGGCTATGGTCCATAGGGTAGCAGAGTCAGGCATGACTGAAGCAACTTCACGCATGTGCAAACAAACAAAAAAACCCATAGAAAAAAATTAGGTGCTGCAACCATATAAGTCTGTAACTGCCATCTGTAAACTTGATTTCAAACTTTTCTGTTCATCTTAATAGTTTCTTTGGATCCCACTGAATTATTTTTAAGCATTATATACTTGAACTTACAAAATTTATGTTTCATAAAATTCTGATTTTTGTCTGCTTTATTTGCAAGATCTTATTTGAAAAAGGAAAAATAATTCTCCTGCCTAAAGGGTTTGAAAAGTACTAATTTAGATCAACTTACTTTCCAACATAGGCACAACTCTTCTGGCGGGAAAAAAAAAAAGGCAGCCAAACTCCCCTTGATCACATTCATGGAAGCACCAACATGAAGAGCTGTGGCTATATGTTTTTTCACTGACCCCCATCCCCATCCTCCAGAGATGAAGAAACTTTGTCACATAGAGGACAGTAACCTAGTCAGGGTTATAGTGTCTTATATAATGGAGGTGGAATTGAAGAATAAAGTCGGTTTGATTAAGAAACTGATATACTTACACTAATTTATGTAGATTCTTAGGGACTTGATTAGCCCATGTTAATCAGATATGTTTATGTCCTTCATCTTCTATTAGGAGATGGCCAAGACCTTATCTTGGTGCTATCACTTTCTTGGAATCTCTATTCCTTTTTTTGGATGTTTTTCTCAGCACCTCCAAATAGCTCCTCATTAAGGCTAATTTTTTAGCTGTTGCTTCTAAATATCTCAGCCCTAGTAATGCTTGCTGCCAGTGAGGTTTCCAGCCAATGTGGAGGATCGGACATGAGGTCGGACCTCAGTCTGCATCTCCTGAAAGAGGATCTTTCAGGAACATCTTTAATTGTCACAGTTACATTCCTTAGGACAGATTCTGAGATGGATACTAGCATGTAGGAAGTTCAACAGGTGCAGAAGAAGAGGGAGGAAAGCGGGTCAGGCAGGGACAGAACGCGGGCTACAGTGCGGTCTCGACTGAGGGCTTCCCCACCCCCATGGGGAGCTCTACAGCTGGAAGGACCTTCAGAGTTGCCACAGTGGGTCATGCACCAACCCCTGAGCCCCGTGTGCTGCAGCAAGAGACGCCACGGCAATGAGAAGCCCGCGCACTGCAACTAGAGAGTAGCTGCCGCAAGAGAGGAAGCTCACTCATGGCAGTGAAGAGCCAGTGTTTAAATGAGAATGTCAATGTGGTGAGCATCCCAGGAGATCTATCCAGATGCCTCTCATTTCACAAACTAGGAATCTGTGGCTTCAGGAGGGAAAATGATGGCATAGTAAGGATGATGTTTGTGGACACCTCAAAACCATTCACAGCCCACCTCCCCTTCACTTTCCTCTACAATTGAAAAGGGAAATGTAGAAGACTGGC